AATAAGTTTTGCCCACAAAAACAATGTTTATTACATTATTTCCTTAATTTGTCTGAGGTTGAATGAACGGCTTACAAAATGTGTACGTGTGTKCTCATCACTGGTGTAATGCACTCAAGCACATGCACTCTGCACACTTACTCGTCAATCAGATCCCCATGGATTCGAATAAGTATAAAAGCTTTTGTTTTAAATAATAAATGCACATAATAATTTAACTATTAGTGAGACGTTAAGGATTATGTTTATTGAAATGCAAGTGATGGTGAATGTAGTTAGTTTCAAAGGATTCAAAATTTTATTATATCTTTGTATTATATTGTGTTTAATATTGATTTATATCAAATATTTTAAGAGAAATCATTATCATATCATAACTTCGCAATTACCAACAGCAAGAGGTTTCCCGTTTTTGGGAATCGCATATAAATTAATTCCAATGAAAAGTAAGGAATTTCTTGATGTTGCATATGTATTGTATATTGCAAAAATCGAAACTGGTTATTTTATTCAAAATAGAGTTTCTATACATTCTGGAATCATACTTCATAAAGTTTAAGAGTTGGAAATATTTCGCCTGGATTGGGCCTCAACCGTTTCTTGTTACCGTGGATCTAGATATGATCAAAGAAATACTCACTTCAAATAGATTTCTAGATAAATCTACAACGATGTATTCTGCCATCGATAATGCAATTCCAGGGGGACTTATCACTAGCCCAGGTTTTAATGAATATATACATATACTTATCATATTATATATACATAAAAGTCATAAGTCATTTAAATGTATCYTCCATCACGTTCCGTAGGCGAGAAATGGAAGCACAATCGAAAGCTCATGAACTCAACATTCACCCACAAAACCATCATTAAATTTATACCAATATTCAAGGATGGTGCCCAGGCCTTGGTGGAAAGGCTGAATGATAATGTCGGAAATGGAGAATGTGAAGTATTCGAAATAATAAAGCGAACATTTTTAGATATGGCTATGGGTAAGCTTAATTAAATGTTTAGTATTACAATAATGAAAAATTAACACAATAGCTTATGGCTGTCATACTTTATAGAAGGTTTGTCCCCATAAATTTATCAAATAATTAGATTACAGGGTTTGTCTGGAAAGTAATAGAACTGAAAAAATTGACTRAGCCAATCAATTCTTTAAAAACTTTCAAAATAGGCCCCTTCCGATTAGGGAGCGTTGAGATACTGGCCTTGGTTACGTAGYTGTTCATGCCTTGTCGGAATCGAGTGACCCTTCCTTTGAGTCTCGTGAGGTCCYCAAAATACACAACTTTTTGCTAAATCAAAGCCTGCTTGATCATACCATATGTCTGAGTCGCAGACTTACTGAGTTTCACACAGAATTTAATTGCGTACTTCTACTCTAACGAACGCTGCATTTTCGGCTTGCACCACTCACAGAAACGCGACGCGTGAAAATGTTGTACATGCACCCTGTATAACAATATTGCCATATAGCGACAGCTATTTGGAGAATTCCAGGTCGTACATACATAATGTTTTTGTATTGACCAGCAGAGCCGTTACCAGAATAAATACGGTAGTCGAATTAATCCGAAAACTTAATTCTGTATACCCAATTTATTCATCTCCATTAAACTTACCACAATCAGCGCACTCAATTAGGAAAGAGAAATTCATGTTAAATAGAAAGAAAGCAACATTGATATCAATTCATTACATTTTTCATAGTTTATTTAACTTTTAAGGTAGTATAATAACAGACAGTATCCTATATAAGCTTGACACTGCAATTAAAATTGATATCGATACTTCCATGGCTAAAACTTTCAATGAAATAAATATCTGTACTAGTATCAAAATAAAAAAAAATGGATTCTCATACATTAGTTATAATAGTATACATATATAAATATACTAAAAATCGGAAATCATAAAAATGTTGATATTATGTAAATCTTGAATGTCTACTGAAATTGCTGAACAGCGACTGCATAAGTATTCGATGCCAAAAATTTTAATTTCAATTTGTTTGCAAATCTTTCCTGCATATTTTTTTCAGAAACTACAATGGGGGTTGGCCTTTATAACGGAAACGATAATCACAACGAAATGATCCGCGGATTTAATTAGTAAGTAAATCAAACCATTATTTTCGGAAAAAATCAATATTTCCTTTTTAACATATCATCAATAAAAAATTTCCCTACTTAATTAAGACGCTACATTTTTTTTTTTACTTTTACATATCGCAAATCAATGCTTCTCAAACCCCTTTACGCATCATTTTTGTTTCTTGAATTCATTAACATCGAGTTTAAAGCTCAACGATAATTTACACTTGTGTAGAACTTGGGTTTATGAGCTAATAATACAGCACAGCCTTTTGATCAAATGTAGATCATTACTTTGGCGTCATGGTTATTCGGCTTTACCATTTGCCTCAGTTGATTGACCAAGTTTTACAAATGAATTTTTGGATTTAGGGTTGTCGTAATGATTCCATTCCGACAAGGACAATGACTTTATAAAGCATGATCGGAATATATTCTGTGTATAACCTATGAATGTGTAGTACATAAATTATATAATTTTTTTTAAAGCATGTTGGAACAAGTCGCTAATGGAGCTATATTTAGCACATTAAAGGTCGGATTTTTAACTTACACACCCAGATATTATAAAACGAAGCAACTTATAAAGGACTATATAGAAACGGTATTATATTAACAAAAATAAATAAGTCATAGTATATGAAAAATTTATTTTAGTTAATTGAAGATAAGCGAAAAGCAAATGATGGGACTATTGACAGCAAAAATATGAACGTAATATCGGAGGAGGTAGATATAAGAACGGATGCTGATATTTTTATAAATCGTGCCCTCAACTTTCAAGATCAAAGCTTATTTCAACATGCCGACGTATTAAACGAAACCCAAACTGTTATTGCTGGGGTAATTTTTTAGATATATTTATTATTTTATATACGTATATATGTATACGCTTCGATTCTCAATTTTAGTCATTCGATACCGTTTCAACACAAATTTACTCAATTCTTATAATGCTTGCCATGCACCCAAACATTCAACAGAGACTCTTCGAAGAAACGGAAGAAATAATTTTTGTCGAAAATACGTCTATTGAATACGAACAACTCAAACAATTTTCTTACATGGACCTGGTAATTAAAGAAACCCTTCGACTTATGCCATCAATACCCATTATAGGTCGGGAAGCTGTGAAGGATGCTACATTAAACGGTATCAATGTTCCCAAAGGCATGCAAGTAATGATACCAATTTTCATACTGCACAGGCGCACAGATTTATGGGGTCCTTTGGCGCATTCATTTAACCCAGACAATTTTCTACCAGAAAACAATTGCAAACGTCACCCTTGTGCATACATTCCATTCTCTAAAGGTTCACGAAACTGTATTGGTAAATTTTCGCTTTTTTTGTAAAGGAAAATATGTTTTAACTTCTATTCTATTTTTCAGGTTGGCATTATGCTGAAGTAGTTTTGCGTGTTATGCTTTTAAGTTTGATTCGTAATTTCAAATTCACTACTTCATTCCGGTATGAAGATCTTATTTTTTCTGATCATATTAGTTTGAGGTATGTTGAAGAACCCAAACTACAGATATGCCGAAGAAATGAATTTTTGGAAAGAATTAATTGAAAATAAGAGTAGAAGCGAATATTTTCTTTTTATTTAAATGCAATTTAAAATTATGTATTTTTATCTTTAGGAGCCTTTATGTATTTGAGAAGTATTTAAGAAACTAATAATATTTTAAAAATAAAAATAGTTCATAATCAGACTATCTAAATTTTTTTAACCGACGTTCACAATGTCTAACAGCAATTTGATTCTCTCGCAAATTTGTGACAAGCATTGCTTCTCCACCAGTTTTCTCAGAACACTCAATAAAGAGTATTTTGATTATAGGTAAATATAACGTTTCGTATTCACTGCATAATCATAGAATTTCATTGTTTACGATTGTGCGGCATATAAAAGGGGTCCAAAATTAACGCAAGATCGGAAATAAATAGAAAACACAGTTTTTAGACTATCGATTATAAAATTTTTATTGAGTCATAAAATACATAATATAGGTTTACTTAAGGAATATCACATTGGGAAAATGGACCCTGAATGTTAAACTTGTGTAGATTTAGGTGGATGTATATTCCAATGTCAGATGATAATAAACCCGCAAACATTAAAAATCCATTATTAACATTTCTACCCGTAAGGTTTACGTTTTCGTTTTGGTGTCCAACTTTGCCGCGTGCTCAAACAATACTGAGTCAAGTAATCCTAAGCCCTATGTTATGTTAGTATCTTACGAAATCTTATTTTTCTCACACCATATTATTATTAGAAGTTACACTACTGCTATTTCTCTTACATACATTAGTTATTACGTTTTCGTTAGCTAAATATAAGATAAAAAACACTAATCTAAGAACACCAGTTGGATTTTGGCTATAAMGTCGCACAGGTGTGAGTTTATGAAACCAAAATATCGAAATTGGTGACTTCGACCTGGACTTTCGCGTTCCCCAGACAGACAGTCAATCGAATTTTATATACCTATCCCTATATCTAACTCCTTTASTTTTAGTTGATACGTACAAACATAAGATGATAAAAACTATTATACCCTGTAGCAACTGTAGGGTATAAAAATATAATAATAAAATAAAAGTAAGAAAGAAGGTAACTTTTTTTAGACATGTATATTATTAACAATTAGTAAAAGAGGCTTGGCAAACTCCCTATAAAAATATAAGATAAAGAAAAATTAACGTAAGGCCAACACAAAGGCTAGGCAACATATACACATTTTTGAATATCCTATAGTTAGATATTTGACCATTCAAACCATTAGCCGATTGTCTCTCTACTAAGAAGCTGAAATACATTATTGCATCCAAAATTATAATTTTTCACTATTGGGAATAAATAGTTATTATTATATTTAATTTCCGATACTGATAAATTAATTATTATAAAATTAATGCATTATTATTTAAGTATATTTTTATTTCTTTCAAATATTCGAAGAAGCGGTGTTTCCTTTAGCTTAATTGTAATGTCTTCTACAAAGTGTAAATTCTGGTATTCGAATGTAGTAGAAAACCGATAATTCAATATCAGTCTAGCAATAGTTACTTTCATTGATAAAAGAGCATATCTCCAACCTGAAAAAATTGGTAACATTTTAAAGCAATTACAAAAATGACATTCAAGATTCCTTATACATAAGTGACAACTTTCTTTTCGTAAAATTATTGAATAATAAAGTTTGTGAACACCATTTAGAGCATGCAATTTTCGAGAATACTCTCTTTTTTGCCAAAAACTTTGAATTGGTCGACCTAATGATTCACATCATTCGATTCACAATTCTAACAAATCGATTTTTGTGATCTGAATCATATTAATAGTATCAACATTATTCTAAAATAATTCAAGCTCACCAATGCAGTTCCGAATTCCCTTCGTAAATGGTATGAATGCATAAGGGTGTTTACCGTCCAAGTTTGATGGCAAAAAGTTATCCGGATTAAAAATATGTGCTTCATGACCCCAAATATCCGTACGGCGATGCATATTGAATATATCAATTGCTACTTGCAGTCCCTTGGGAATCACAACATCATTACTTAGACGAACTTCTTGTTCGGTTTGCCTTGCGACCAATGGCACTGGCGCCATCACCCGCATGGTTTCGTTAATCACCATATCCAAGTAAATCATCTGTTGTGTGTCGCTGTAAGTGACTTCATTATCGTCTTTACTGGAATATATGGAACAGACTTCATCAAAAACTTTATCCTGATACTGTGGAAACATTGCTAGCAACATCAGTATGTACATGAGGGTGTTTGAAGTAGTTTCGAAAGCCTATGAAATGCTCATAATTAAATTATCCTGTTGAAATAATGAATAAATTAAAATATTCACCCCAAACACAATCACATTACATTCATCTTCAACGTTCTGCCATTCGAAATGCCCTTTCTGAACCAAATTGAGAGCGCGATGTATAAAAATATTTTGGTCTAATGCCCTTTTGTTCTCCGATAATTCTGGTTCGTACATGGTCTTTTGTTTTATTAACTGTGCGTAAAACGGAAAATATATAAACGTATAAATATGTGATGAAATACATATGTACAAAGGTTGGTGTATAAACATGATGATGATGATACATACATATRTACATATACATATATACATACATACATAATTAYATAAGGAAATTTCATTTTCATATAATTCGATCATTTTACAGAATATACAAATCTAAYGCTAATGCAATTTTTGGAAGAGAGCCTTAAAAAACAGTTCCATTTCAAGTCTAAAAATATTCGAAATCGACCCTAAATTTTCAAGTCCACAGTTAATATGTGAGCTTCAGGAAAAGCTCTGAGATATATTATAGAAATTCATAATGAACACTTATGTCGAAAATATGTGAAAGCGGGTTAATAGTTTATCTAACCACAATATACTTAATATCAAGATTTTCGAACTTCCAGTTGGCTTTTTACCGGACATATCGGTCAATATGTAAGAAAACTTGGGAAAATTAAGTCAACGTATAACAATGAATATACTACAGTATATTGACGAAAATGTGGGAAATCGATCCCTATTTATAATAATTTTCGTCATTCTAACAGAATTTATWCTAAATGTTTTCGTCAGAATATGAGTTGTTTATTATATTTGCTACAAAGTGTTTTCGAGTGTACTTGAATAATGGCAAAAGTTAATACAATCCAGATCTGTCTCCATGCGACATAGCGATTTCTAATTATTTCCACTTTCCATCTGAGTTTAAGCTATTTATGTTTGTCAAAATTTTTGTTATGTTAATGTTATGCAACGAGTATACTGACTTCCAATTATGTGCTAGGTTAAAGAAGTTTGTAATCCTTTCAGTCTTTCGTCGAATAATGAATAATGTCTTATATTTTTTTCAAATTGCGAGAATAAAATGGTTTTACCCGTACTTTATATTCTGTAACATCGTTAAAAGTGTACAAATCATAAAAACTATATGGCTTCGAATCTGTATCACCCGRTTTTACAGATTTTTACATTTTTCAAAGATAGTATATAATAATTTATGATTACCCTAGAGAATATCAATGAATATTTTATAATAAATTCTCCAGTTAGTACTTATGTATATTCCTACTTTATGTACTTATAAATTTTAAAATATCGATAATTTGTATGAAAATATCTTTGTGTCTAATTATAGATGTTCCCGTTTTCTCTCATCGCGTGTTGTATTTCTCTTTTGAAAGTTGGTTTTTCGRTGCTCTCTAATATGAAAACTAAAAATTAGTACTCAAAAAGGTTCGATTTCAGTTTTCGCCTGCTCTATTCATTAATATTCCCCTTCATCAATGTTATAAAAAACTACTAATATATAAATTAAGAAATAATTACAAAAACTTACATTGCGAATATAAGTTCGAATTTCCGATTTTGCCTCTTTATAGGAGTCTTTATTCTTCCAGAAATAGTTGAATACYTTGAAATTTAGCCAAGGTGAAAAACACATCTGGGTCATGGAATCCTGAACACTAGAATATTTAACTTGACAACTATTAAATATTTGTAGCTTGTTAAGCATATTAATTAATTCTACCATTTATAACAGCTCAATAATCCTTCGGAAAAATTATTTATGCCGTCGGAGGGAATTTTGTCGCCCATTGTCGTTTCTAGAGATCATCATAAAGTTACACAACAAATAATTTCAATTAAAAACCGTTTTGAACTTACGTGCTGCAATCTTCAATGTAAAGTTCTGGAAAACTTTTGTCAAATCGACTTCTTCCGTTAAAAGCATTTCAAATGTTTTTATGAGTTTATTCACTTCTTGATTAAATATGGGCATTAAATTCAGAAGAACCTTGTGCCCGAATGCAGGATTTAGAAGACGCCTGTGCAAATTCCACTTTGGATCTACGAAATATTGATCAAACAGTTTTATAGATATCTAAATTTGTAATGYATTTACTTGGTAAACTAAACAGCCCTCTTCCAGCACCATCATCCAAAGCGCTGTAGATGAAGCTTTTGTTAACGCAGTGGGGAGAAGTTAAAATATCTTGCGCTATTTGGGGATCGCCAACAATCAAAAAGGGATATGGTCCGAGCCAAGAAAAGAAAGTTTGTCCGAACTTTTGTTCTTCTTCTTTAAATGCTGATAAAATATCTGGAAATTATTTGTTTCATAAAAACATATGATTACAAAATATTTATAAAATACTGATATACTATATATTTAAAATAAGCATGTATAATACGCGTTGTAAATATTCGTTCTATTGTCCTAACCTCGAACAATTTATTTGTGAAAATATTCAGCAATAGAATTCGTCGTTCTCAAAGCTGTTCTTACTTATTGAATGGCATAAAATTAATCCATGAATGAATAATATTTTATGCGGTATAACTGTTAAAATACATACAACATACATACATTTTTAAAATCAATCCGCAATTTCCACTGTCCCAATGGCGAATATCTCTCATTCTATCGGTGGACTTTACATATAAAAATATGTATATATAAATAGGCGATATGTTTTTACAAGCATTTAATTTCAAATCTTAACCATTTGGATTCTTATACCCGTAATAACATAATATTTTCATGATATGTAGTAGTTTATTAAAGTTCTATTTAATGTATAACTTAGCCATATCAACACCTGTACAGATCTTCTCGTTATATAAAGACGTAAATCATTATATCGTCACCTGAAATGCAAAATAACGTAACAACATTTTCGGAAATTTACAGAGGCATGAATGAAACACGAAATAAAATTGAAAATGAGTGAAAAAAAATTAAATATTGGTTAAAATTGGTTTATATCTGAGCGCAGAACCTGAAAATGTTGAACATATGTAATATTATGTTTTTATGTAATTTGAAGTAGTGAAGCGTAATTAATAAGACACTCAATTTCGAACTTTTTTATGATACGTTATTTTTTTATTTCAGGTGATGATATATTTATTTAGTTTGTTTCTATTGTTATAATTATTTGTTTCAGAACTCGGCTATTTACATTTATTCGATAAAGTTTCACAAAAGTCTAACAAATAACCGAAGCTTTTACCATTAAGTAATACAAGTTTTAGCTCTGGATAACTAATTTCACACTTCATTCTAAAGTCACTTTTCCATACATATATATTTTTTTTTGAAAAATCATTTATTTCATAAATTTGAATTTTTTTTTGGTTACTGTCGCAAAAAAAATTTTTTTTTTTTTGACAAAATGTACGTGAACTGAAAAATTACCTTCCCTCCTCATTAACCGATGGGCCATGCCCACAATGGGGTAGCCCAACGGCCCAGATATTTTCCATATTAATTTATAAAATGCTCTACGACTCCATAAAACATGGATCCAAAGTAACAACAGTGTTCCCGTTAAATAATAGAGTATCATAGTTTATAAATAAATTATAATTTGTTATAACTTTCTTTGCTGAATCAGAACTCACGCAAGTCGCGATGTGACAATTACGAAGCCCGTCAACACTTTGTGTGCGAATATTGTGCGAAGAAATTAATTTGTTTAATTTATATGAGATAAGGTAAAATTCGAGACTCTYGAAAACATTTGGAGTAGTGGGAGAGCACTCTACAGTACTAACTCGATATTTTGAGCGTTCGCTTTCTGTGTCTAATATTCCTTTTCAATCATAGGGGATAGTCTTCACATACTACTTATGCTTTTTATTCGTTACAACATATTGCTTGGAATATTTCGTATATTTTATTGTTAAAAACTTTTATACATTTATATTTTAAATATCTAGCATTTAAAAAGTAGTAGTGGTTACTACATTACAATCAAGCAATTTTTAGTTCACATTTATGGGCATGAGTTTTGCCCATATGCTATGTGTTCATGCCTGTGTAGATATAGTACGACGTTGTCCATGACGATGCGGTATAWACAAATACTATGCACATTCGCATGTATATGTATGAAAGCGAGTGTTCCGTGCTATATTTCAATGTAAGGCTCGAAGTAATTAAAAACAATAGGTAGTTAGTTCGACAAATTCGAACTTCAGAGAATAATTGCCAGTGCTACGTTGCATACAAATACCAGTAATTAAGTACTGATGATACTTCCTCTGAAAAGTAAACATTCTATTATAAGCATTAGGAATTATAAAAGAAATGAGCGAATCGATTGCGCTATTCTTCGATTTCCGTTATGAAATTTAATTTTCCTTCCTTATATTAGGGCTATTCAGACCAGACCAGGTAGTTTTTTACGTCGGTTTTGTTTTTGTAAAATTAACACATTACCGTTTTATCGAGACCAGACTGTCACGCGTGATAGTTTTTTCGTTACTTGGTAACATGTTTTTTTTTTTGCTTTGTTGCCTCAAAAGTTAACTTAATTAATTGCGAAAAAATACTGTCTACTGCAAATAAGTTTCTGACAAATTTTTCAAAAGTAAGTA